CTGCAGCAATTTGCTTTTGCTTGAGCCAACTGGAAAGGGTAAGATTATGCCCTTGTCCTCTCCTCCATACTAAGTTAATTGAATGCAAATTATTTTTGCACTTTGGACTCAGTTTGCAGCGATTGCAGTAAGGTTAAAGTGGGAGAAAAGTGGGAGGATGATTTAATTGGGACTGTCTCTGCCAAATGTATATGGATATGATGCACATCATTCTAACTGCCCCAGATTGGCAAGGAGAGTCTCAGTTAATCCTCTACCATTCCACTTTCTCAGCTACTTTTAAAATGTCCTGGCTTCTCTGTCTTCCTCTCACTGTCCCCCTTAGTTCTCAGCTTACTTCAATTGATGCAAAGTGCAAAAGCAATTTGCACTCCATTAACTCAGCAGCAGGAGAGAAGGGCAGAGTCTTGCCTTTCCCAGTCAGCTCAGGCAAAAGCAAACTGCTGCAGCCTCTCCTAGTTTGTCTGTTCCTCCTCATTAATACCTTTCGCCATCTTGACCACAGTCTGATGTTGCTTGGCCACACGTGTCCCAGTTTTCATCTGTGAAATGTTGGATGGTATGAGGTGCATCATGTTTTTGCAAGTGTGTGTGTGTGTTTGTCCATGTATAAATAGGTAGAAAGGCAGGCAAGGTCCTCCCTGTAGTTGCATAGGAAAAGTCTGTCTGATGTACATATATTAAATATATTTGATGATGCTGGAACCTTATTTAAGGTTCCATCTAGGAGGCCCTCTGCAATACGATGGAAAAAACAGCAACAGACCTGTCTAAACGTTTCAGGACTCACAAGTCTGCTGTCCTTGACCTGAAAGCTGGAACAACCTGGAAGACATTTTAATTTGGAGCACCACACCCTGTCTGGTTTTTGGGCATTGGAAAAAAAAATTCAAATGCCATGTATTCATTATACTTTGGGAAAAGGGAAGATTTCTGGATCCACAGGCTTAAAATCTTCACAGGGTCTCATTCTGGAAGATAACATATCACATCATCCTCCAGTTTGGAAATCCGTATCATCTACATACCTCAATGCCACCTCAGATCCAACTCTTTTTTATTTTGGGCAGCTGAAGAAGGCAGAAGCCTAAATGTCTTCCATGGACTTTTAAATAGTTGTGTCAGTTAATCACTCTTACAAATATATGGACATAGGCATATATATACACATACTCAGTCCTATTTTAAGTACAGAACAGAACAGAACTATTGCATCAGTTGGATTGACATGCATATCTGAGACAACAAAGTATGAAGCTCTTTTTAAAAAACCAAAGCCCCCTTTCCTCCTCATTCATCATTAGCAACAAAGGTATTTATTTATTGGGAGGGCTGGAGGGGAGAGATTTGACAGCTAAATATGCCATCTGGATTTAAAAGAGCATCTCTTCTGGCAGGTTGATTTTAAACTCTGAATTTTAAATTAGGATATTTTATGCCAATTGATTTTAATATGTGTTAGGTTTATGTGTTTTATCAGTTTTTACAGCATTTAAATGATTGTATATGTTTTAATCCATATTGTACCCCACCTTGAGCCTTGGGGAGAGGCAGGTAAGAAATAAAATTCTTCTTCTTCTCCAATTCCTCCTCTTCTTTTTCCTTTTTTCCCCTCTTCCTCTTCTTCTTCTTGTTTATTTATATAGCACCATCCATGTACATGTCGCTTTTCAAACAGAATAAAGCATGTATAACGATTTCAGTAAATATAAAATATTAAAATACCACACTAAAATACAATGCAAATAAAATAAAAAAGAAAGAAAGAAAGCCACACACACAAATGCAAAACGCGGAATAAAACAACACAGTCAGTACAGGTAATTACAGTAAAAATATAAAGCATTATTCTGAAATTCCAAAAGTTTTAGAAAACAAAAAGAAAAGTTTTCAACGTCAATGTACAGTATGATTATTTGGTGCTGGTGTTGCAGTAAACCATGCAATGGACAAAGCTTGATCTGGGAAAGGATGGGGTTTTGCTGAAGCATGGTGGGTCCATGTATGGCAATGCACTGGCCAGACACAGCTTGTTACCCATGTGCCACTGCCATGCCCTGTGGGTAAACCCTCCTGGCACACACTCTCAGCCTCCAAAAGAGCATTGATGGGAGGGGTGGGGATGGTTTGGCTTTTCTTTCCTGCTTTCTGGGCAGCTGTCAAGAGGGATCAAGAGCATCCCTCCCTCCTGTGTGCTTCCTGACCTGTTTGTTCCTGCTTTCCTCTGCCTCTTCCTGCCCATTCATCCCTCCATCTGCCCACTCTTTCTCTCCATCCCTCCCTCTTTCTCTCCCGCCTTCCTTTCTCCTCTGTCCAGCCTCTGCTCACTCCTCTCTTTCAATCCTCCTTTTCCTTCTCAACTTTCAGGTGTGTGGGGGAGTTGCTCTAAAAAAAGGCATATTAAAATACATCCTCCCATGGAGGACCCAGGTGGTGCCACTCTCTGGTGCCCACAGCCTCCTGCTGCGCCATGCAACTAATGCCCTCTCCCTAAGACCTGCCAGGAGCTATTTCTCCTCCACTTCTGCCAGGATTTAACTGGGCGAACCTGGACTTTCCACTCATTGGTATCATCATCACCATTGGGCCAGGATGAGGCCAGGAGCAGCTGGGTACCTGCTATCAGCTGCCCTCTTCTGTGGCATGGCCTGCAACCAGGTGAGGAACCAGGGGAAGGTGTGGTGGTGGTGGTGGTGTCTCAAGGAAAGGTTGCAACCCAAGACTGTTTTGTAAGGCTTCTTATTTAAAATAAAAGAATGAAAAATGTCTTTCCTCTTCCCTTCCCTTCCAACTGTCCTGATTTGGCAGGCACAGTCCTGGCTAATCCTCAGTCCTCTCTCACTTTTTCACCTAATTGAACTTGAACTTTATTGCTACAAGCTATGAGCCTTTGCAAGTCCATATACTTTACATAAAAGCCAAATGGCAGAATGACAATAAACTTTGGCACTAAATGCAAAACAGGAATGATTAAAAAAAATGGCCAAAAATATAAAAATGTAACAAATTTAAGACATTTTTCACCTGCTTTTAAAATGTCCCAGTGGCGTTGGCAGCCACAACCATATTGTGAAGGTACATCTCGCTGCCCATCCAAAGAGAATCCAGTCAGTACATTTACTGATTTAAGTAGGATGCACATTTCTATTCACAATTTTAGGTGACGCATTATGCATTCAGGTCTAAATTTGTTTCATTCTTGATTATATATAGTCCACCCTTTGGTGAAAAGGGTGCTACAAATAAATAAGCTTTCCTCCCTTGTATTCAGCTTACTCCCATTGCTGCAAACTGAGTTCCAGTGGAACTCAGTAATTTGCATTAAATTAACTCAGTATAAGGGAGAGGACAGGGCAAAAACTTGCCCTTCCCAGTGGGCTCAGGCAAAAGCAAACTGCTGCAGCCTCTCCTAACTTGTGTGTTCCTTTTCATTAACAACTTTTGCCATCTTGATCACTCTCTGATGTTGCTTGGTCCGTGAAATGTTGGAGGGTACATTCCACATGCACTCATCCCCTAGTTCTGCCCCCCAAAAAGGGACAAAACTATCTCAAAGAGGCACAAAACTATCCCAAAAGATTGCATTGAATGACTGCAACTTCTCCCCAGGTTGCAGTGATTCAGGGTTGCCTCTTTCATATCTCCGGCTGCAGAACATGCAAGCGATAGTGGTAGCTCTCTGTCCCTTGAATTACCTCTTTGCGTCCCATGGCAAAATGATGGAAATGGTTTGGAAGCAAACTGAAAAACTATTTCTGTCCCAGGCAGAACCAGTTGTGCTCTTTGAAGCTCTTGTGGAGTGTACATTGTGTGCAAGGGGGCACAGCGTGGGCACAGCTCTCCGTAAAGGCAGAGAGGGCTCTTTTATTTTAAAAGTTAAAATGCAAATAGTTAAACCAACTCATTAAGATGTAGTACTGGAAGAGCCAGAGTTCAGTCACAGAACCCTTGCTTTGCAGGTTGAAGATGGCAATTATTATACTGACTTAGGGTGCATCTACACTGTAGAAGTAATGCAGTTTGACACTACTTTAACTGCCATGGCTGCATCCTACTCAATCCTGGGATTGGTAGTTTTGTGAGGCACCAGCACTCTTTGGGTAGAGAAGGCTAAAGACCTTGTAATAACTACAAACCCCAGGATTTATAGTAACTTAAAGTGGAGTTGAACTGCATTATTTCTAAAGTGTAGATGCACCCCTTGGTATCCACAGACCTGTCCTCCAGCGCCAAATTTCCAAAGAATTGATTCTCTTCCTGTCAGCTTTCCTCACCGTTCCAACTTTCACAATCCTACACAGAAACTGGAAATACTATGGCAGGATGTAAGCCAGTTTATGGAAAGTAGAACAGATACAGATACAAATACATATAAGCAAAAACACCCAGAAAAATAAAACTTGTTTAAAGGCAAGAGGTAATAAACAGTACTGTGCACCATTAAGGAGATGCAAAACCTTATGTTTCCAAGCAAATAGGGAAGCCCTTATCTAAAACCCTGAGCAGCTGCTGCAAGTTCATTGAGCTAGATAGATAGGTTGCTTTTGGGTTGCCATGAGTTAAAACACAGGCTTATTGAAAGTATCTTCCATTCTGCATCTCAAAACAAGTCTGGAGGTTGGAGGGTTTTCATGGTAGGAAACACATGGTGTTTCCTATGGTGATCCAAAGAATGCTTGGCTACCTATGGGTCACTGGGGTAGTAAATCTGCTCTGGGTTTTAGTTTGAAGGGGGCTACCTGAGATTAGGAACGTCTCCTAAAATGCAACAACTTAGATAGACCCATTAACATTTGGACTGGAACCCAGAGCAGATACACAGCCTCACAGGACTTTGTTGCTGATGCTTCTGTGCCTTCAAATGGTTTCTAACTTATGGCAACTCTAAGATGAACCTATCACAGGGTTTCCTTGGCAAGATTCTTCAGAGCAGGTTTGCCATTGCCGTCCTCTGAGGCTGAGAGAGTGTGACTTGCCCAAGGTCACCCAGTGCGTTTCCATGACCGAGAAGGGATTTGAACCCTGGCCCCCAGAGTAATAGACCAGTGCTCAAAACACTACACCACATTGGCTCTCGAAAATGCAAAAACTGGCACCGTACCACAAAAACTATTGCACAGGCAGGTTTTAATGCCAGAGCTTGGGGCTGGTTGGGGGGATTCTGGGAGTTGTAGCTCAAAAAAGGATGACCAGATTGGTCTAGTAGCATTACTGCCCTGGGTTGGGTTGGACTACAGGCATTTTTTTATAAAGGTTGGCCTCTGCTTTCAAAATATCTGGTAGAGTTTGCATGCCTTCTAGTGGCCATTACTAGCACAGCTTCTCCTGGCTGGCAAACTGGAATTATTGCTTTACCTTTTTTGCATTATGCAAGCTTTCAAAGTTTCACCAGCTTCTTCATCAGGCAAAGATGTTAAAAATTGCAGGGGGGGGGGGGAAATGGTGGCAATGTCATAGTAACACTTATTGTTACATGTGCAAAAAAACCAACCCCAAACCCAACCACAACCACCTTTGCTTATATGGACTTCTCTTGCTTCTTTCCTCATCCTCTTCTCTGTTTTAGACTTTGGATTCTGAGCTCTCTGGAGGGCAGGGATTGTCTTTCTTG